AGCCTGACCCAGCAGGAACACATATAGGATTGAACCTTGTGGTGGAACACAGGTGACTTCTGTCCTTTCCAGTGAGAAGTTACCTGTTGAAATCCCTGTTCTGCAGTCAGACTGGAACCAGTCCAGTACTCTGTGATTTCTACTGGTTCATGTTTTCTTGTTTTGTTTTTGGCAGAAGCTTCTTGTTTCTGTTTGAAAGACTGAGAAGTTTGATGTCACAATTCCAGACAAAACCTTTAAGACGTTTAGTTTCTGAGGTTGAGCTGGAATCAGGTTCCTCTGATCCTCTGAACCCCTGATGGGAACCAGCTTTCTGCTTCACTGGACACTTACTGGACCTGGACTACTGGACTGACTGGTTCTGGTTTCTTTCTCAGGCTGACTGAAGTCCAGAAGATGGAAGATCAGGATCTAAAGGACGACAGAGCAAAACCTCCAGGATCCATCAGTCCGTCTGTGAGGAGTGACCGGTCCAAAAATGAAGATCCATCCTTCAGTACTGAACCTGGACCCTCAGACAGAAAGTAAGAAACCAGTTTCTATCTGGTTCATGTGGATCTATAGAGATAAAATATAGATGATATTAACTGGTTGATCTTTGATCAAAAGTAACTTAATTTTCTTCCGTATTAATTTAAAGTCAAACATGAAGGATGTTGGTCAGTAAATCAGTTTGAAAGAAAAATGATGAAAATGTTGCATGGAAACAAAAACCAGCAACAATGTGAGGAGCAACGACTCAGATTGTCTCTGAACTGGATGTTGCAGCAACTAGTTGACTCTTTACTCTGTAGTAACTTTTCCATCACTAGTCTCTCGTCTCAATCACGTCACTAAACTGATTTTTACAAGAAGATGAACCAGGTGAGTTTGTCAAAGTTTAAATTGTATAAACTTCCAGAAAACTGTACAAGAGTCGAAACACTGAATTTCTTTAACTCCAGACTAAAAACCATCTGATTTTAGTGGCTTTGATTATAAATGAAACAGTGACCAACATATTTGATGGTTGTGATTTTGGTGATGCTCTCATCAAATATAATGTCTGTTCAGTTGTTGAATGCCTGGTGTTTTCTTTATAGCTTTCTGTCTTTATTATGCAAAGCGCCTTGAACTGCCTTGCTGCTGAAATGAACAAATAAACTTGAAGGTTCAGTTTGACCAACAGATCAGTCTGAATGTTTCACTCTGGAGCTTCAGACCTGCAGCAGTTTGTGTTCAGAGCTTCTTCTCTGGTTTTTATCTCAGTTTCTCACTGATTGATCTGAATAACAACATGTTTGTGTTTCAGACGTCAGAACCTTAAACGGAAAGCAGAACCTCCAGGATCCAGCTGTCCCTCCATGAGGAGTGACCGGTCCAAAGGAAGCAATCCAGACTTCAGTCCTGAACCTGGACCATCAGACAGAAAGTAAGAAACCAGTTTCTAACTGGTTCATGTGACTCTGCAGAGCAGGACTGGTTCTAGGCTTGGATACACGAGTAGACAGGCAGAAAGTAAAGGAGGCTTTATTATGGTCCATTTTCTGCTCCATGATATTTATTAACATTGATGACTAGTGATTGATTCATGGGATGAACTTTGTCCAACTCCACAACAAAACTCAACCCTAAAACCTTGAAATGAAAAAGTTTCTTCATAAACTTTTCATTTTCTTGTTAAATCCAAGATTTAACCAACAACATAACATTTATCTACTTGGATTGTGATCGTGCAGTTTTGCATCTTAAGCTGATTTGAGCCTAAATGAAGATAAAAACACATTTCTTTCAAACAGTAATAACAGACAGACTAAAGCAGAAGGTTTTCAGTTAGAAACTCAAAGCTTCAAAAATCTTTCTTCCCGCTTCTGTTGTCTACTTTCTCTTTGCTTCAG